AGTGTGAGAAGAATGCCAGTTAGGTTATAATTGTGCTTGTAAACAGTAGTTAAAGGTTCAGGACAATGGACCAGTTAGGTTATAATTGTGCTTGTAAACAGTAGTTAAATGTTCAGGACAATGGGTCAGTTAGGCTATAATTGTGCTTGTAAACAGTAGTTAAATGTTTAGGACAAGGGGTCAGTTAGGTTAGAATTGTGCTTGTAAACAGTAGTTAAAGGTTCAGGAGAAGGTCAGTTAGGTTGGAATTTTGCTGTTTTAATTTAAAAGTGTTTGATTGGCGAAGAAATACATGATATAATTAACATAGTTAAAAATATAAAATAATAATTTGCAGTTAGTCTTTAAACGTGTGTGTTATTGCATGTGCTAAGTCAGATGGTTGAAAGTTATTTGTAAAATCTTCATACCATCTATGGTTGGCATCATTGAATTCTATTATTGTAACCAACAGTCTATTGTATTTACCTGAATTACAATTTAAGGAATTAGTCACCACAAACTTACTTGTTCTTCTCAGTTTGGTTTGGGTTTATTTGTTAAAGTCGTGGGTGCCATATGGTAACTTTTGTAAGGAAGATAAACACATTTAGCACAGTTTGGGAAACACTAACATAGGTGTAGTGTGGTTTGTTTGTAAATTGATTTTTTAATTTGTTTTTATGTGTAGTAAATTTAAACTTTGTGTCAAGTTAGCCTTTCTCTTACATAGAACTACATTATGGTTAGTGAGCAGGAAGTGGTAGCTAGAATTGAAGAAGTGCGGTCTCGCAAGGGCTGTTTAGGGATCCAGGTCCGAAGGACCCCACATCAGAAATCCAAACACGAAGAAAAACAACAATATTGGGAACAGATTCAACTGCAACACAGACTAGAACAGCAAGGTAATAGAGAGTATAATACCAAGACTTTTTAAGAACAGCAAGGTAATAGAGAGTATAATACCAAGACTTTTTAATTAATTATGACTGTAACTTGTCATGATGGAGAGTCTAAGAAAGGCTTAAGTTATTACTTGCTGGCTATGTTCTTATTTAAACTCACTGTGATTGCATGTACTTTGTACTAATATAAAATATTTGACATTGCTTGTACTTTAATAGCATAATTTTTTCACACTGTGCAGGGCATGCTGTTATTAATCAGTGTTTCTAAGTAAGTCTTGAACAAAGATGTTTGTTTCTAAGTATGTCTTGAACAAAGATGTTTGTTTCTAAGTATGTCTTGAACAAAGATGTTTGTTTCTAAGTGTGTCTTGAACAAAGATGTTTGTTTCTAAGTGTGTCTTGAACAAAGATGCTTGTTTCTAAGTAAGTCTTGAACAAAGATGTTTGTTTCTAAGTATGTCTTGAACAAAGATGTTTGTTTCTAAGTATGTCTTGAACAAAGATGTTTGTTTCTAAGTAATTCTTGAACAAAGATGTTTGTATTTATTAAATCCTCAGTTACAGAAAATTGCATCTAGTTTTTAAATTTTTATATATTTTACCTTAAAAAACTAAATTAAATAAAGTGCAGTTCCAGTACATTTTCCACTGTTTGATATACCGTGTAGAGAAACCCATAAAAATTACTTGTTATTACACTTGCTGTAAAGACCGTTGTTCTGTTTTAATTCCTAGTTAGTAAAATTGTTTTTGTGTTGTTATATTTTAACAGCTTTTTTCGAAGTAGCAGTGTGTTCTGTAATACAGTGTGTAATTTTGTTACATATTACTGGCCTATAGAGTAGTGTTCTGTAATACAGTGGGTAATTTTGTTACATATTACTGGCCTATAGAGTGGTGTTTTGTACTACTGGCCTATAGAGTAGTGTTCTGTAATACAGTGGGTAATTTTGTTACATATTACTGGCCTATAGAGTGGTGTTTTGTACTACTGGCCTATAGAGTGGTGTTCTGTAATACAGTGGGTAATTTTGTTACATATTACTGGCCTATAGAGTAGTGTTCTGTAATACAGTGGGTAATTTTGTTTTTGTAGTTTTGGTCTATAGCGTAGTGTTCTGTAATACAGTGGGTAATTTTGTTTTTGTAGTACTGGTCTATAGAGTGGTGTTCTGTAATACAGTGGGTAATTTAGTTACATATTACTGGCCTATAGAGTAGTGTTCTGTAATACAGT